GAGTAACATAGACTTCTTCTTCCAATGGACCATTCAAAAATGCTGACTTTATATCCAACTGATGTATCTTCCATCCTCTATATGTTGCTACCGAAACAAAAAATTTGATTGTTTCTAGCCTTGCAACAGGCGTATAGACTTCGTCAAAGTCGACATCAGGTTTTTGTAAAAAACCTCTCGCCACCAATTTTGCTTTATACTTCGCAATCTCATAATTTGGCCTTCATTTCACCTTGTAAATCCACTTTACATCAATTGGTTTCTTATTTGTTCTTTCGATAAGCTCCCATTTCTTGTTCTTCTCAATAGCTCTGAGTTCTTCTTTCATGACTTCACACCAATTTGAATTACTCATGGCTTTATCCAAGTCAATTGGTTCTGCTTCATCCATCATCATGGCTTCTTCGATTAAATCACCATCTGCATCAATTGCTTGATCTAGAAATCTTTCATATCCAACTAGCCTTGTTGACGCAGTTCTTTTTCTTATCGACCTTCTTTCATTCAGCACAGGTGGTTCTTCATTTTGACTGGTTGAAGCATCATCTTGTTTATTTCGACTGATTGAAGCTTCTTTTTGTTCATCTTCTTCGAACACAGTTGTGATTGTATTTGATTCTTGTCTAACTGAACTTTGACTCCAGTCTCACCCTTTGCTTTTTTCTACAGGAACATCTCGACTGATCACTAGTTTATCTTTTTTTGGAGAATACAACTTGTATGCACCAGTCGAATGATAACCTATGAGCATCATGACTTCAGTTCAATCATCTAGCTTCTTTCTCAATTGTCCAGGTACATGTCTGATATGCATTGATCCAAAAACTCTAAGATGACTTACATTTAGCTTCGACCGTGTCTAATCCTCATGAGGTGTCTTCTCGACCATCTTCTTTGTTGGACATCTGTTTAGAATATATACTGTTGTTGAAGCTACTTCAGCCCAAAATCTCTTAGGCATCTCTTTAACTTTCAACATACTTCTCTTCATGTTCAATATACTACTATTCTTTCTATCAGCTATGCCATTATGCTGAGGCGTATATGGTGCAATAACCTCATGCTTTATACCTTCCTCATTTCAAAATCTAGCAAATTCAACAGACGTATATTCACCACCACCATCGGTTTTTAACTTCTTCAATTTGCAGCCACTTTGTTTCTCAGCATGCAACTTGAACTTCTTGAATTGTGTGAATACCTCACTATTCCTTTCAATAAGGTAAATCCACATATGTCTGGTGAATTCATCAATGAAGTAAGTAAATACCTATTACCTCCATTTAACTTCACTTCAAAAGGTCCACACACATCAGAATGAACCAGCTCCAGTTTTTGCTTTGATTTCACGGGCAAGTCATGTTAGAATTCTTTCCTCGCCTGTTTTGCTTTGCAGCATTCCTCAAACACCATTCTTTTCTTATTAAGCATGCATAAACTTCTGAAGTTTAGATGTCCATACCAGTGGTGCCATAGTCAGTTCTTATCTTCTTTTATAGTTGAAGCAAGACATTTGTGATCTGATGTGTTGAGTTCAACTTTGAATGTTTTATTCTCTGCCAATGGTGCTTTCATTATTATCCTCCCATCAGCCTTATATACCTTCATCGGATTCTTCTCCAACTTCATATTAAAGCCTTTTGCAAGTAATTGACCTACACTTATCAAATTAATTGTCATAGAAGGTACTTACAGCACTTCAGTGATAGTAGCTTTTCGACCATTCTTCCTGACAATTGAAATATCTCCTTTACCACCTGATTTGATGTGCATTCCATCTACAAACTTCATCACCTTTTTGATTGACTCATCTAACTTGGTAAACCAATTTTTATTGTCAATCATGTGGTTGTTGCATCCTGAATCTAGATACCACGTGTTGTTTTTCTCAGTGTTCAACTTAGTGTTCACCATCAACAACACATCATCAGAATCACTATCTCCATCTCGTGCATATTGAGCTTCATCATTATCTTTCACCCTCGCAACTTTCTTTCTTCGACAGTCTCTAGCATAGTGACCAAAACCTTGACAATTGTAACGTTACATGTACTTTGTGTCAACTTTCTTCCCAGAATACTTGTTGCCCGCACCTTTCTTAATCGAATCAGTAGTTTTGCTTGACTTCTCATCACTAGCAAGATTCATTCACTGCTTCGACTTCTCTTTTCTAGCTTTCTTGCTGAATCTTGATTGCAATGCCTGTTCAACCACCTTTTCTCTTTTTGATTTTCTCTGCTTCAATCTCATCTCATGAGCCTCTAATGAAGCTTGAAGTTTTTCCAACTTCATCTCAAATAGAGTCTTGGCCTCTTCAATTGTCACAATAATGTAGTCAAAATCTGCAGTCAAAGATATCAACACCTTTTCTATCTTCTGCGGATCCGTAATTGATTCACCGCATACCTTCATTTGGTTTGTTAGCGTCATAATTCTTGAAAAATATGCAACAATTGATTCATCTTCTTTCATCTGCAGCATTTCGTATTGCCTCCTTAGCGTCTGCAACTTCACCTTCTTCAATTTCCCATCTCCACCATACAAGTTCTTTAGCTTTTCCCAAGCTCCTTTTGATGTTTCTTCTTCAATTATCTTCTCAAATACATCAGAATCAAAACACTGATGAATCAAGAACAAGGTTTTACCGTCTTTCTTCCTTTGATTATTGTGCGCAGTTTTCTGGGCTTTCGTATCATTTGTTTTCAGTTCTGGTACTCCATCATTCAAGATTTCAACAACATCTTGAAATCTGAAAATAACCTTCATCTGCGCAACCCACCGCTGATAGTTTTCACCTTTGAAAATTGATAGATTCACTAGAAATTGTTGACGTTGTTGTTTCGTTAGCCATTAGATTCTCTCTAAATCGCAATCGAGCTATGTTATACCAATTTGTTGGAACAAAGGGTTTTCAAGAAAGATGATTGATAAAGGAAGAAAAGAAGAAGAGATAAGAGAGAGATTAAAAGTTTGTTATGATTCTAGTTGAATTGTAAAATATATTATTGATTACGTACTCTATTACAAACTAAAATCCCTTTATATATGCATACAATGCCCAGGCCCAATTAGACAAAACACGCTAAAACTCAAAACATGGTTTTGATATACTACAATATCTGTTGTATTCGACTCTGTCGAATACAACTTACTACCTATACAACAAACTATCCGGCATACATCATATTCGATTGAACAAGAATTATACTTTCTAACAAAAACTTCCACATCAGACAAATGAAGTTTTAAATGAGAATAATTCATTGGATTGTTGTGAAGATAATGTACATAAAGCCACGCAATTGGGCGAGAGCTGACGACCAAGACTTGTATCTTATGTGAGTTCTTATGGGTGATATCTGCTTCAACTGGGTTAAGTTTATTATGCATAGAATTCAATATTACATGACATCTTTGAAGTCTTCATTGTTCTTTTCCTCCTTTATTCAGTTCATTATAGAATTGAATGATTTCACATCATCTGAAGAGCTGTTGGTCAAGGCATTAAAGCATGTTGACTCAACTTTTATCAATTTGATGCGCTACTACTGGGACAAGAACATGGAATAATATTTCTTAGAAAAAGACGGTAATTGGATTTACGAGAGAAAAATTGTAAAATCAAAGAAGAAGAAGAAGAAGAAGAAGAAGAAGAAGAAGAAGAAGAAGAAGAAGAGAGTTAGCTCCTCTAAAGAAGTTGGTTCATCATCTGCTGGATTGCTTTCTGATGACACGAAAGCGTATTTTGATGGTTTGTTTGATAGGAATTTTGCAGATAATCAAGTTCGTGAAGACTGGGTTATGAGCCACATTGAATCTCTAGCCAAGGAAGTTGAAGAGGGCCTGAAGAAGATGTAGGAAGAAATCAAAGCCGAGATGAAAGCAAGTGAATCTCGTGTCCTGGTTGAAGTAGAAATTTTGAAGGGTGTTGTTGAACATCTTTATAGTTTCGCTTTTATTTTTGTTGTTGATCCTTCAGTTGTTGATTTAGATCCTACTAATGTTACTCTTGCTTCTACGTTGTTGATCCTTTACTTTAGTGTATATGATAGTGTTTATTAGTTTATTTGTAATTTGTATGTTATTCAAATATTCACATGTTCGTAATTCATTTGCCATTTGAGTTGTATTGTGTTTGCTTCAGCTATTTAGCATTGTACCTTTAAGACCCTTCATTATTCAATATATTAGACTTTTGATCCATGATAATATTCCTTTTTTAGCCTAGCCAGTTGATTTTCGTCATTATATCAGATATTGCTTGAATCACAAGTTAAAACACTTAAATTAAAATTTCAAATCATTTGATTCGAATCATGTACAATGTGTGGCTCAAATTATGGACATTGTGAAAATTAGAATTTACCTTTGAACTATTTGATTCGAATCATGATTTCTTCCTGCTCGAATCATGACTCTCCAAAAAAACTAAAATTAGACTATCCAATTTGATTTGTTGAACTGATTCGAATCACAATATTTTGACTCGAAACATGATTTTTTCCTAGACTCGAATCATAACTTCAAATGTTCAATAATTCAGAGGTGTGGTTTATCATTGTCTTCATCCATTTTGTTAGAGGTGGTGTTTGGTGTTAAAAACAAAATTCTTTTCTATCTTCTAACTTCATCCATATGGTGAATAGATTGGATTCATTAATGGATTTACTCCAATCCATTAATTTACTAATTAACTTACTTTTTATTTAGTGGATAGATTGGATAGATTTTTTAGTTGATGGATTGGATTGAATTGCCACTCCTAGCTACATGTAACTAAAATGTAAAGTATATTGATATTGCTACTAGAATTGTCTAAGATGTGAAAAACAAAAAGAAATTAAAGGAACGTGTTGCCAACGAATATTTGAGTATAGCAGATACAATCCATTAGTTGATTATATTATGGTTGTGTATTTTAAATCCTGCATTCTTTATCATGGTCACATATTACAGTGTTAGACACCGATGCACGATACTTTTGAATCACAGATGAGGTTTTAGGTTGGGCCATATCGTCTTTTAAATAAGTGGTGTCTCTTTGCTGGATCTTTCGGCTTGCTCTTGATCATTTGGCCTTTACGTCCATTACTGCATAGGGAAGAAAGCAATCACCATTAAAGTAGTTTGTATCTAGTTAACTGATCAAGTTCTTATTAAGATGTCAAAAATAAAACCAAACAGCGAGATATATCAGCACTAGGCACGCTTTGTTGTATCAAGCAAATAAAGAGGATAATGTACCTGTACTCCATATAAACCATCCCTTTGGCACCTGACATTGCACTCATTGATCCCTGAGAACGGCGGGCACTCTTAAGAGCTAGTTCATCGGAATCTTCTTCTAGTTGCTCTAACCCAACTGCATCATCACCAGCATTCAGTACCTGATAGGTAAATCACCAGTTAGTTCTCAGTCAACAACTCAATTCCAAGTCAACGGGTATTAAGATGGAAACCTTTCCAAGAAGTGCCAATTGATCTTCGAGATGATGATAGTTCAAGCGAGATCCTTCATCAGATGGAGGCAAGCTTGTAATTACCTGTCACGTGTCATAAAAAAACTATAAGCATATAAAGATTGAATCTTGACAAGATAGTGTTAGTGGCCAACAAATATTTTGAATTCTCAATAATGAAATTGGAATTTAAGATCACAGTTCCAACAGGTTTTTAAAGCCATTGAGCACCCAAAATAAGTTATCTTCTAGCAATATTTGGCACAAAGTTTGTAAAAAGAAGAAAGTGGCCGTGTATTTAAGACTTTAGCTGAGTCTGAGTGTATTTAAGACTTTAGCTGAGTCTGAGTGTATTTAAGACTTTAGCTGAGTCTGAATCGATACAAATTAGATTCACACTGTAGCAATTAAAGAGAAATGAGATCAATTATGGAAAGACAATATTATTTCTGAAAGTAAAAGCAAACTATAGAAGGATGAATATCGTGCTGTCCACAAGGCTGCCTGAGCTCCTACATAACTCATCATTCTCTGCCTATAGCCAACACCAACGTAATTTTTCCAAGACACATTCTGGTAGAGCTAGGATAATTGCAGACAAAGAACAGAGAAAGAATACAGAGAGAATAACAGTTTCTGCTATTGAATGGGTATTTGGTCACAAAGCATCTTCCCTTTCTACAACTGTCAAAGCAGTTCACTGAGTCACTGACACTTCCCATCACTATTTATACACCTCTAACCCTTCTAGATATACGTGAAAAATAGGAGGCTTATACACCTCATTAAAACTTGTAACAGATTCTCTCTCTCCATTCCTCTTATTCTTCCTAACACGAATTCCTCGCACCATGGGCTTGGGCAGCTAATGTGACAGCTCTCCATTTAAGCCCACATTCTCATTTGAGATCCTAATACATACATTAGCTAGTTTCCTTTTTTTCTCTTCCATTTCCTTCAACAAACACAATGACTTCCTGGAGTACTCTAATACTTCATTTGAACAAACAAACAACTTGGTTATGGCAAATGTCACACGCACCAAATAAGAACTTGTACTCATTCAGAGATGCGTACAGCTTGCTTTCCAGTATATTTCAAGAGCAAAACATTTTTTAAGTAGATTATGGCATCACAGTGCAGCAATAACTAATTGAAATTGCTTTGCTGGCTAGGACTAGTCCAACTTACTCTAAATATTAAGACAAATAATAATTCTTGACCCAGCTAATACATTGACAACTTCGGGTCCGGTAAAGTAAATGTACAAATTCATGTGAATCTTGTATTGAGGTAAATTACCACAAGTACAATACGGAGTGAACCTAAAATTGAAAGAAAATACCTTAAAGCTGTAACCCTGATCAATTAAAAATTGCTGCCTCTTAGTTGAGTAATACATCTCCTGCAAACGGAAGCCACACAATACATGACACCATAAATTCCTTGTATGATAGTTTAAGTATTATTTTGAAGTGACGACAAGATCCAGTAATCCAATAATATATGGGCCGACATGAAATAAATGTATACCTGGGTATCAGTCGACACAAGGGAATAAAAAAATGCATTATACTCCTCTTTGCCACCTGCCATCCTATCCTGAAGCTTCCCCTGCCATTTAATTCATGAATTTGAATCAGTCAAAGAGCCCACTGGCACAAAGCATCATTGACAGACAACATAAATATCATGCAGCAGACTGCAGAGAAATTCCCACTTTCCACAACATACAAATGAAATTTAGAATACAATATGTAAGGTGGGTATGGTGGATACCAATAAATAGAACTTCAGAATTAATAAAATAAAACACCAAAACCTACTACATGGAAATAATAATAATAATAACACAGAATTCAGAAACTGACCTTTGCCCTAAGAATACGACCAAGACGTTGAGCTTCTTGACGCCTTGAACCAGCATGTGAAGAGATCTGAATTATAACATTTGCTTCAGGAATATCGATTGAGTTGTCACCAACCTGAGAATAACAGAAACGGTGCAAGGAATTAGATATCAATTGTCACATTTTGCATTAAGATGTTAACGTGAATAAGTTCACAATATCAATAGTATGAACAAGAAGTACTGAGGCAGACAGCTATAAAAAATACTACACATCACAGAGCATGAGCTAACCTAATGAAACTCATAAGAATATATTCATTCTAACTTAAATAAGCCATCCTCGACAAGAAGCTACACCAGTATGTGCTTTACCACATTCATGAAAACTAAAAAAAGTAAAGCAAATAAGCCTCATAATATAACTAAAGAAAACAGGAACACATACCTTGGAAAGAAAAACAGTATTTACGTCTTTGCTAGTTTTGAATGCATGTAGAATTTTTGTCCGCTCAACATGGCTGCGCATAAAGCATATGGATATTTAACGTGCAAAACAGAAAACCCCAAAACGCAGCTTCAAAAGAGGTCAATTTATATACACAGCACCTTGTAGCACCATATATCATTGGTTTGCGGAGTTTCATGGCATACTCGGTAAGAGCAAAAAGATTATCAGCAAAGACTATAATTTTATCACCACGTGCCCTTTCATGGTAATTTATGAGAAACTCACATGCTCTGAATTTATTTGGATTCATCACATAAAGGGCCTGCACATGTCATGATTATCAATTAAAAAGAGTGAAACCAAAGAAGTAAAGACCATCACATCACACAAAGGGCCCTGCACGTATGTAAAGATCATCAGTGAAGATGAGTGAATTCAGGCAAGTGAACTAGGAAATTTTTTTGAGCAATTAAAATGTTTCACAATGACATTTTAGTTCTTTTAATAATCAAGACAACCTAAACAGAAAATGCAATCTCATGGAAAATAATGACCAGATGTTCAGGAAAAAACCTAGATTCCGCATTCGCTCCTTACTATTTCTACTAAAATGATTCACAGAATTCCCAGAGGTTTCACCTGTCTCTTCTTGGAATTCTCTTTCTTTAGATACTCGGTAAAAAACTCTTTTGTCATTGGACACCATACTTCAGCACACTGTACATTTGCGATAAATCCACCTTTTACAAGATCTAACCAATTTGCCTCGTACAATTTGGGACCAATTAGGAAGTTCAGATCTGTAATTCGCTCGTCCTCTCTCACAAGTGTGGCTGCAAATTTAAAACTATTTCACTCACAGCAGAAGAGGCTTTGGTCATTGTCGGGATATTATTAAAACAGGGCATAACGACATACCTGTGAGCCCAAGTTTGCAGTGAGATTTAGTGATACTGATGACTTTTCGAAACATATGGGCAGGAACCACATGTACCTGTTTACCATGCCATGACACTATGCATAAGAACAAAAAAGATTCAAGGCAAGAAGGATATAAATATTACAGTAAATCTTCATAATTACCTCGTCCATGAGCAGCAATCCCCATTCTCGGTTTCTTATTTCTTCAATGATCTTTTCAGATTCTTCAGACCGTTTACCCCCAAAAGCAACCATATTATATGTTGTCACAACAACTCCAGCGTTACCGCGGAATCTCTCTTTGCTATCAGATGTGAAACGACATATTTGTTCTTCTCGAATAGTTGACCATAGTTTAAACTGAAAAGCCCACTGATCCACAGAGACAGCATTTGTTGCCAAACAAAGACAGCTCTTTTTTACCCGGCAAGCTGCTGAAACACCAACTAGGGACTTTCCAGCACCGCAGGGTAAAACTATGATACCAGATCTTGCTCTACCTGAGGGGGCAGATGTTAAACTTGCACTGAGAACAAACGCTTAATGTTTCAATGTGCATTTACATGGTATAGACATATCACTGTTGCTGAATTCATAATATACCAGCAATAAGTTATGCTAATTCAAATCTAGTTAACATAAAAATTTAGATATAACTTACAGTACTAGCAGATAAAGTTCTAAATATATAACAACAAAATTCAAAGGAATTTTTTTTGAAACAATAATGACATTGAAATTAAAAAACAAGCAAACTCAACCAATTAAAAATAAAATTTGACGGGCTCTCCAAATTTTACAAGGAAAGAGTGCAATGCCAGTGACACACGACCTTGCAAAAGCTCCCAAACTTACCATTTCCAAACATTTTACTAAGGCTCTTCTCTTGATATGGCCGAGGTTGTGCTTGAGGCTTTAGTTCCATGTCAAGGTCTGGGTTCACCTGTAGCAATAAAAAAAAAGTTATGCAAAATGAGTCTTAGAGAAATAGTTTAAACTCCATGACCCCATAAACTTGCAAGATGATAACATGCTTAAATTGTTTTATTAAAGAGCACAGACTGAGAAGAGTACTAAGTTCCCTTTTTTTCTGATAAAAATAATTCGTTAACAAAATTTTATATAAATGTTTAATAAGGATAAAATTGTAAATAAAATAGTTAAGTGAAGGGTAAAATTGGAAGAAAAAGCTACAGCAAAACATGGTGTCAACTTTATATATTACATTTTCCTTTTCATAAGAAAAAAAATTATGCATAGATATAGATATTTAAAAACAAAAACAATTATTTGAATCGATAAAGAATGATACAATTGTAAATAAAATAATTTGAATAAAGGGAGAAATTGAAGAAAAAATCTACACAAAGTTAGTATCCTATCCCCATTATATATAGGTATAGATAATCCTCAAAGATTTAGCCACCACAAGTGTATAAAGCATTACTCACTGTATCATTTCGGAAGTCATACTCCTCCAACATAGGATAATTTAAGGCATTCGGCAAGCAACGTTGCTTAACATTTTCAACCTGTAAACAAATCACAGAAATGTAAATAGAGAAGTTTGATGCAGAGCAATTCCAACTACTCTATGGTGATTTCTGACAGTAATTTGGTCTCTAATCATTGAAACACTTGTTGGATTTTCCCACAACATAAATATAACCTTCCGTGAAACTCGAGGAATGTTTTGGCACTATTTTATTTAAGTGTTGGTAATTCTACAATATAATCCATGCACCACTGAATTGACCAAAAGTTTACCTAAAAAAGGAAAGAGTGGTTGATATACTTGTGGTGATATGTCATAGATGACAGCTGAAACAGGGATGTATCATAGAAAGTGACTTAAATAATGAAACTTGTCATCTCGCATTTAAAAAAAAACATGGAGAAACACTAGAGCTGCATCACAGAGAAGAATGCAACATTACAGAGTATATTTATTCAAATTAGTTTTTCTTAAATTCAATAAATATAATTCCTCCATTTTCTTGTTGAGACATGAATGACACACTCGAACATCATCATTCTTTCATGACAAATGATGGATCATTGATTCAACTTTGTGGTCTAAATGGAAAACAAATAGATTAAAGGGCATTGCAGTGAAATATACTGCATTTTTTTACAAAAGCTCAAACCTAGACTACCTGAGCAGGATCAACTTCGAATGCATGAGTTTCTTTCTCTTCTGCAGCAGCTGCTACTTCTGCTTCATTTAGCAACTCGTCATGAGTGCCTTCAATTTCACCTGCTGCTTTGCTGATTGTAAATCTATCTCCATATGAACCCTAAACAGACAAAGAAAAAACAGCAAGAGGGATTCTAAACTTCACTTGTATAGGGGACGGAGTATCAAGAGAGTGCAAACTGCAAGATCAACTCAAATATCCACAGAAGCGTAAGCAAATGCAATTCACAACCATTCTGTAAATTTTAGTGGTAACTGAAAAAGCCTATGAGAAACCAATTCGATACAACATGGTAACTCTTAGGTTTTTTGAATAGGTCTAATCAGTGTTGTCGATGGCGGATGGCGTTCCATGGCGGAGAGCCAAAATCCCGCCATACCGGCCACTTTGCAGCACCGTTAAAGCGTTAAAACCCGCAATATCGACCAATATTTACCATTGCAATGTGGCCAAAAACCGCCATGTATAACAGACATAGCAGCCATGGCGCCGCTATTTGATAACACTGGGTCTAACTCACCCTTACAAGCCGGTTTTGTAGGATTGAGTTACCTCTAACCCAAATTTTAAGATAGTCAAAACATATCCATAAGGACACCCACCAATATTATACATGAAGCAAGCCGAATAGTGTTGGACATCAACGGATGTATTGGAAAAAATCCTAGTATCACGTCGAAAATAGGTAGGTCTCAAAAGAATTTATAAAGACAAGGCACCATCATCTTATTAGTTAGTTTTGAAGGGTTGAGTTAGACTCCACTACTCAAATTTTAAGAGTAATATTTCATAAGCATAAATAACTTATATGCACAGGCATTTCAAAATAAAAATAGTCAAAACATATCCATAAGGACACCACCAATATTATACATGATGCAAGCAGAATAGTGTTTGACGTGGAGGGATATATTGGAAAAAACCAAGTATGACGTCTAAAATAGATAGGTCTCAAAAGAGTATATAAAGATGAGGCACCATCACCTTATAAGTTGGTTTTGTAGGGTTGAGTTAAGCTCAACTCAAATTTTAAGAGTAACATTTTAAAAGCATATGTAGCTTATATGCACAAGCATTTCAAAATAAAAATCAAACGGCAAATGCAATAATCTAGACCAATCCAACCATGCCCTGCATAGCTCGCAAGGAGATACTAGGATTTGTAATTACTGAAAGGAGGGACAGCGAAGCAGCCAAGGATATCTAATGATCAAGCACTCAAGACATTCGTTTTTATATACCCATCACTTCGGGTATAGAAAAAAGACATTTAGAAAAACAGTCGACCTGAGCTATTTAGCTACTCAAACATGTCAAATAGTATCCCACAAACAAAGGATGTGATCACTAACCTCAGAAATGATCCTTGCTCGAGCTATAGCATCATCCCTAAGCAGTGTCTTCAACACCTGCAAAATTTGTCATGACAACCACATGAATGTTACCAACAATAACTGGTAAGGAGTAAGGACAACAGAAAACATGGAAATAGTTACCACCATCATGAATCACACACCTCTGGAAACGGAGATTCCACAAAGTACCGATTCTTCTTAAGAACAAGTTTCACTTTCCCATAATTTGCAGTAGAATCATGAATAAACTTAATCATCTCTTTAGGAAGCTTGGTCTTGGACAACTTGTTCAAAACCGATATAATCGTTTCAGTTTCCAAACCAACCGAAACCGCAGCATACAGCGAATGCGGAGTAAGATTATACTCATGCATAGACTCCGGCCTATCCATCATCAAACATTATCATCATTACCACTCTAAAAACATCACATAACAAACCATTTACACAACAATATACAAATTTCCTACCTGCAAACCGGCTCCGCGATGGCAATGAGAAAATCATAAGCTTGCTTGTACAAAGGCGAGAAAGTTTCAAGGAATATCCGGCCATTGTCACAAGCCCAAAGAGGACGATTCGTGTGATCCAGTTTCAACTCTAATTTGCTAAAATCCTTTGTTTTTCCTTCTAATTAAGCATGTGATTATGTGATTAAACCCTAAATCACGTGATTAAATCTACAAATGAAATGTTAATTGAAAATCAAAATTACCGTCATCGTCGTATGCATCATCCTCTTCGTCATCCTCAGCGAATCCTTTTCTCGAATCTTCCTGTCGAAAATAATGGACAAAGTAAAATCAATATATGAAACTAAAGAGAAATCGATTATAGATTATAGACTATTGATTATGAACTAACGAATTTAGATGCGGCTTTTGGCTTTTTGAATGGTCTTCCTTTTTCACCTGCAAAAATGAAATTGAAAAAGGTTATAGTAATTATCTTGGATTTTGTTCTTGATCTTGGTGAATGGATTGGGGATAGAGTTTATGGAACGAATGGTGATGTACCGTATCCCATGGTTTTGATGAATTGGATTAGGGTTTCGTGTTTCTATTTTTTTTTCTTTGTATTTGAAGTTCAATTGCGATGGAGAAATGAGAGAGAATTGAATGGTAAGGAAAAATGCGCGAGTGAATATTGTTTGTGTAAATATGAAGGTGATTCTGTTGCTGATACTGAATAGAAGTAGTAAGTTCCGGAGGGACGAATATGACGGTGGTTGTGCACATTGATAGAGAAATGTTATGCCGCCCATCATTTTATACACGTCACCCTTCACGTGATACAGTTATGAAAATCTCCTTAAAATATATGGGAGTTTTTGAAATTTCTGTTTTCTATCGGAAATTTCATATAAAATATCTGAAATTTCGTTAAATTTTTCAATTTTTATTGTGTTATTTGGTTATAATCGGAATTTTGATATCAGATATTTTAAATTTTGATGTTTTTCATCATTAAAAAAATAAATTGAAATTTTGAAATTTCTGATGTATGAAAAAAATCGGAAATTTCAAAGTTTTCGTTTTTTTTAATTATAAATATAAATCGGAAATTTAAAATTTCCGGTGCGCAAAAAATAATAGAAATTTCAAATTTTCAGTAAATTGGAACTTAATTTTTTTTGTTTTTTTTTAACTATTACTTGAATAAAATACATCATGAAATAACGAACCGACTAAATATATAAATAGAATAATTGTCATACATAGTTACATTAAAAAAACTACAATCACGGCTTAGACAATTCTTCTCGATGCCTGAAGCGACCCACATATGCTGATTCTCATGTTTTTGCATCATTAGAACAATTCTCCCTCCATTTCTTAGTGACGGGAGACAGTGAACAATCGGGTTTCAACTTCACCTGAACCCAATGGCATTTGTTGACAAAACCAATAGCAATGATTGTATGTCGACTCGTGTACGGGGGTGGAACTATGAGAAGTGGGAAAATATTATGTTAAGTTTCATGGAAAGGAAAACAAATACGACATTATATTTAGAAGCAATAGGGTAACCCATATCAAGAATCAACATTCATTTATCCTTACCCTGCACACCCAAGTGATTGATTTGTAACGAAGTTCTAACCTCAGATACAATGTCATAGAACAACTTGGAAAACAAGTCAGCATGTTGATGAACTTGAGTATCCAACTTCTTGTCCCCGTCCTAATAAAGATTAAATGCAACGATAACCATAATTTCTATCATTTTCAATATTAATTATGTCATCGATGTATGGATGGAAGAAAGCAAGAAATTGTGACAAGTACTCAGCTCTTGAAGATTTGGTAGAAGGTTACTTACCAATCGGCATGGTTGATGATTGACTTCCAATTGGTTTTGTGCATGATCTCTCTGTAGTCTGACTCCCCTGCGAAGCTGCATCATATTCCCACTGGCTAGAATCACATATTTGTTTTGTATGTGCAATAAAAAATTAACACCAAAGGAAACATATTCAACAAATTTACAGAGTCAGGGTGTGTCCAGAAGATATCAGCCACAATATCAGAATTCTCCTTATTTCTAGTCCAACACGTGTATTTATCTTGACGAATAAGGCTCAATAACATTTGTATTTCTGTCATTTAGGGATGTCAATGGGGCGGGGCGGGGCCGGGGGGACACTTCCCCATCTTTTTCCCCGCCATCAAATTCATTCCCCGTCCCCGTCCCCGATCTCCGTCACGGGGGAATTTCTATCCCCATCCCCGTTCCCCGCGGATCCCCGTTCCCCGCGGGGATCCCCATAGATCCTACATTTATTCATTAATATTTTATTTTTTTAAAATGTTTATATTTTCTATAAAAATAAAAAGCACAAAGAATTCACATATTTATTATGTTATTAAAAAATTCTAATATTTACATTTCTCTCTCTTAATAAATACATGAATATTTATTTATTTATTTTTATAAATAAACATAAAGGAAATGACTAAAAAACCTAATCTAAAATATATATATTAAATTAACTATATTAAAATAATAGGCGGGGCGGGGTCCCCGCGGGGCGGGGGGTGTATTCCCCGTCTCCGTCCCCGAAATGCTCTCGGGGGAATTTTTCTCCCCATCCCCGCCCCCATGGGGGAAAATTCCCCATCTTTGGGGCCCCGAACGGGGCGTTCCCCGCGGGGATCCCCATTAACAGGTCCAAACTGACATCCCTACTGTCATTGCTCCTCTCTTGCCCATTTTGTATGTTGCTCTAACTCGGTATACATGAGTAATACTCGTGAAATTTTTTGGGTCTTTGTCTTTCAAAGCAGACACGATGTACTTTGGTGTCATTTTGTACTTCGTCATGTCATTCACAAACTTTCTTTCATGATCTTTTAGACGACCCAATATGTCATGACCTTCTAAATCCTTATCTAGTCTATGATTGTGCATCCCGCATCTAACCACCACCTTCCAACTGATACCACTTGGAACAAATCTCAGCCTAAATGGGCATCTAACCTCCATAGTATAATTGCCATCAAAAGGTTTCGCAGATTCATTTTTTTTTTGTAATTTCCTCCTCTGTCACAACCCATAATCAATCTATCCTTCCTCCCTCGCATTCCATTAGCAGTATCGGACCAAATTGTAACAACAACAATACCATGATTTTTTCCAGTAGATTGTGCCCATTTTAGAACTTTATCTCGTGATTCAAAAATATGACAATTACAGTAACATTACAATAACATATAATTAGTAAACTTCATCAATTTACAAAAAAAAATATGTAATTATGTAAATTAAATAGAAAACATACGATATCTGTGATGAAGAACTGTGTAAGATCAGTACACGAATTCGTAAAAGAAGCTGAAGTTGTCGATTCAAAAGCGCAAAGATATAAAACTTTATCTGCAGGCATACCAGAAATTTCAAGTATAACTAAAATTTCTAGTACACCGAAAATTTGATATTCCCGGTAAAGTTTTTCTACCAGAAATTTGCTAAATTTTCGGTACCTGTTGAGACTTTTGCAAAATTTACCGGAAATTATGAAATTTTTGGTAAATCGCAACCGAAAATTAGTAGAATGTAAAGAATTTCTGGTATGCGACAAAAAACTGTACCAAAAATTTGCTAAGAGTACCAGAAATTTCAAAATTTATCCGTTTGACCAATAGTAATTTTTTTTGACAAAAGTACAAAATTTAGAGTAAATAGTGAAAGGGGGTATTTTGGGAATACTGGAATTTGGAGGGAGGGGTGGCATGTTAGTTTCTCACGTTGATGCTCTTTTAATTATGGGTCGGCCCAAGGCGCTTTTTAAAGGAACCTCTAAACTCACATTGTATCCCCACCTTCCAAAATACTTTAATCCCAAATTATCTTAATTATTACCAAAACTTGTACTGACCAAGTTGTGAAGCTAAATCAGATGGAAGAATCTATTCTTATGCAAAAAGAAAAAGTAAATTGGCTCCAACATATAGATGGGAATAATTCTTTCTTCCATGCCTCGGTCAAGGAGAAGAATAAACAAAAAGGCCTTTATGATATTACGTCTTTAGATGGAAAGAGAATAACCGATCATGATGCCATTGAAGAGGAAGTTATCAAGTTTTACACTACTTTGGTGGTAACTAAAGGTGAGAAGCTTGATAGTATTGATTTAATTGCTATAAGGAGTGGGAGAAGCATGTATAGGGAGAATGTCCATTTGTTCATCAAGCCTATTGAAGAGACAGAGATTTGGACAACCCCGAGTAGCATTAGTAATACTAAGGCACCGGGTATGGATGGGTTCAATGCCTATTTCTTTAAATCTGCTTGGTCAATTGTGAAGAATGATGTGACTGAAGCCATAAAATAAATTTTCTATAAAAGTGCTTTTATAAAGCTTTTAATTGCTTCCTTGTTATTTTGATACTTAAGTCCTCTGATGCTGGTATTGTTGGAGAAATGAGGCCAATCTCCTGTTATATCACTTTTTACAAGATTATTTCTAAGGTGCTTACCAATAGGCAAGGAAGTGTTATTAGTGAAATTGTTGATAACAGCCAGTCATCTTTTATTCCTGGTCAAAATATTCATGACAACATTATATTGACCCAAGATCTTATTAAGGGATATGGTAGGAAGCATAGTTTTCCTAGGTGCATGGTTCAAATGGATGTTCATAAAGCTTACGATATGGTTGAATGGTCAGCTCTCGATCACATACTTTATGAGCTTGGTTTCCCTAACTTGTTTATTAAAAGTATAACTGCTCGTGTTCATTATGTTTCCTACAGGTTCTCTATCAATGATACTTCATTTGGAATGTCGAAAGCCAATAGGGGGTTGAGATGAGGGGACCTTGTCTCTCCTCTTCTCTTTGTATTAGTTATGAAATATGTGCACAAATTATTGTAATCCATTAGGCTGAACCCGAACTTTAACTTCCACCCCGAGTGTGAGAAGCTGAAAATTACCAATCTTTGTTTTACTGATGACCTCCTGATTTTTGCAAGGGGGTGTGGTTTCTGTTAGACTTATGATGGAAAAGGTTAATATGTTCACAGCTGCCACTGGTTTAAAAACCATACTCTCTAAGAGTAGAATTTTTTTGGGTGGGATTGATGATGTTACTCAAGGTTGTATCCAGGTTGGGAGTGGTTTTGCTATTGGAACACTACCCTTTAAGTACCTTGGGGTTCCCTTTGCGAGCAAGAAGATTACCATCAACATGTGTTAGCCTCTAATAGAAAGAAAGCTCCTGAGGTTGAATCATTGGTTCAATAGGTTGTTGTCGTATGTTGTGAGAGTCCAATTGGTGCAGAATGTGTTATTTGTAATTGCCAATTATTGGATACAAATCTTCATGCTTCCTAAAAAAGTCATTCACCGTATCGAAGCATTGTGTAGAACATTTATTTGGACTGGGAAGGACATGCCCTACAAGAAAGCTCCAGTTTCGTGGGAGAGTTATGTGATCCTATTTCTGATGGGGGTAGTAACTTGATTTTTCTGACCAATTGGAATAAATCTATGATTGGAAAGTTGTTATGGAATTTGTGTGTGGAAGAGTACAAGCTATGGATAAAATGGATCCACTTGTACTACATTAAGGATAGAGATGTCAGTACCTTTAAGCCCCTTCAATATTGTTCATGGATTGTTAAATCCGTCTTTAAACATAGTGAGGGAATGTAACAATTTGATGCTTGTAGGGAGTTCAAAATCATTGGGAGGTACTATACAAAGAAAATGTACAAAATGCTTTAAGGTAATAAACCTAGGGTGCTTTGGAGGAAGT